GAATGTGAGCATTTGCCCACTCAAGTCGGTTAAGACGACGAACTGCAGTCGAGCTTCCCTGAGACGGTTTCTGACAGTTTGTGCAGAAATTCTTTGGTTATGCAAACCGATTGTTGCAGCAGCTGTCCGGGTGGCTGGTCTCAGACGATCTTGGAGGTGAAGATGCTGGATGTGGAGGTCCTGGGCTGGTGTGGTTACACGTGGTCTGCGGTTGTGAGGCCGGTTGGATGTACTGCCAAATTCTCTGAAACGCCTTTGGAGACGGCTTATGGTAGAGAAATTAACATTCAATTCGCGGGCAACAGCTCTGGTGGATATTCCTGCAGTCAGCATGCCAATTGCACGCTCCCTCAAAACTTGCGACATCTGTGGCATTGTGCTGTGTGATAAAACTGCACATTTTAGAGTGGCCTTTTATTGTGGCCAGCCTAAGGCACACCTGTGCAATAATTATGCTGTCTAATCAGCATCTTGATATGCCACACCTGTGAGGTGGATGGATTATCTCAGCAAAGGAGAAGTGCTCACTAACACAGATTTAGACAGATTTGTGAACAATATTTGAGAGAAATAGGCCTTTTGTGTACATAGAAAAAGTCTTAGATCTTTGAGTTCAGCTCATGAAAAATGGGGGCAAAAACAAAAGTGTCGCGTTTATAATTTTGTTCAGTGTATGTAACTAGATAATATTTAGCATATGTACATTCATAATAATGCCAGAGGATGATTCCCCATTTAAGTAATATTGATTTTATACAACAGCTGAATAATCAAGAACTTTATATTGAGAAAATAAAATTTTAGTCAATATTGTCACAGCAGAACCAATCATTGCTCCGAGCAACACAGCAGTGGAATTCTAAATGAATCAGTGTTTTGAATGAATCAGATGAGCAAATGATTAAATGACTCACTCATAATGATATTAATGTCTTTTGGCCCTAAATGAATTCACGTTTTTGAAAGAAGTGGTTGAGGTGATGGTTTAAAGATTTACATAAAGACAGTTGCTGTGTTCAAAACGTCTCTAGGTTACATATGTAACCATGGTTCCCCGAGGGAACGAGACGCTGCGTCGAAGTCGCTTTGGGAACGCCCTTGCGTGACCGCGTTCTGAAGCACGTGTCAAATCAGTCCAATGGAGTAGCGAAACGTCACGAGCGGGGTGACATAAGCACCAGAAAGTATAAAAGCGCATCCGGCAGAGCGCAAACCAGCTTCGATGAAGTAGCGCCTGGAGGGATGCAGGGAGTATGGCAAAGAGACGCAGCGTCTCGTTCC